GAGGGAGGAAGGAGGGGGAAGGGGGAGGAAGGAGGGGGGAGGGGGAGGCCTGAGCAGCTGCTGAGCCACACCCCTTCTTCCCGACTCAGGACCCACACAGCAGGCTCCTTTACAGAGGCTGGAGGGCTGTGGGTGGGGCTGAGCAGCTGCATCCCAGGTGGCCGCTGGGGTCTGTATACAGTACTCTGCACAAGGGCACCAAGAGGTGTGGACCTTCCCAGGCGAGGTGGGGACTATGGGGTTGACGGGCACAGCAGCAAGCCCTGGGAGGGATGGTGCCCATCTAACAAGAATGGGTAGAAAGCACAGGTAGGCTCTCAGGACTGTGACATGGAGAGCTGGCAGGGGCTTGTATTCTGTTAAACTCTAAATAGTTTGCAATTGAACATAGTATTTCTTAAGAGAGTCAGATTTTGACCTAATTTATTTTAATTTCTTTGTTATTAATATCATATTTCTCTACTTTATATCACTGACACCTAACACATAATTAATTTATAGCCCAATGAATGATGACCTTTCGAGTTTTTCCAATAGGTCACTGTATTGTGCTTCCCAAACAGGTAAATAATACCACTGAAAAAAAAGAGAGGTTCCAGGTCTGGCTCCCAACTCAGGCAAGCCCAGGACATCCCTAGTCTTGCCTGAGGCTGGGCTGGGGCTGTAGCTCAGTGGTAGAGCTCTTGCCTAGCASACGTAAGGCACTGGGTTTGATCTCCAAACAAAAATAAATAAATAAGAAAAGGGTATCGCATCCAGCTATAACTAAAAAGTTTTTAAAAAGGAAAAAAGTGCTATAAAAAGAGACTTCCTTGTGTTGGGGTTGTGGCTCAGGGGTAGAGCGCTTGCCTCGCATGTGTGAAGCCCTGAGTTTGATCCCCAGCACCACATAAATAAATAAGGGTATCATGTCCATCTACAACTAAAATAATATTTTAATAAATAAATAAATAAAAACAGACTTTCTTACCAAGAATACTGTTTCTCCAAATGGTGAAAAATCAATCACATTGACTTTTACTGGTCTTATACCACATTGCTGAGGTCGGAATAGTTTGGGAGATACTCTCAAGTCTTGTCTTGTGCCGTGGCTTATAAGACCCTAGTAATAAGATAAAGAGTGGCCAAGGAAAACTTAGGTATAAGGTTGGGTAAAGTCAGTATGCTTGAAAAAATTATTCCACATTATAATAAAAGCAAACAGTGAGTTAATCTCAAATAAACCATATACTATGCAACTTTGGGAGCGAGGGATGAGTGGTAGAATGAAATGTAAGATACTACTCACCACATCTGTGCCAACAATAAAGTGATTAGGATCTGAAGGCAGAAATCGGACACTCAGTGTTTGTGTGGGCCCCCAGAATTCAAGCCCTTGATGGGAAAGGCTGGGGAAAGAAAGTGGACATTAAGATGGGGTGTTTTGGAGCCCTAAGGATAACTGACCATCTCGACACTGCCCTAGCAAGATGGCACACTGCCTGACATGAGCCGGCCAGGCCACACCTCCTCGGTGGTCTCGCCCACTCGGCTTCCTGTTCGCGGACACTTGGTGATTTCTTGAGATCCATCATCTTGTTCACCAATTTTTTCTTCAGCTCTATCTAATATGCTGCTTAACCGTGTGTCATGTAAAGGCACAGGAACAGCAGTTTCATTTCTAAAGGTTCTGGGTGGTCCATCGATTCTGTGTGCTGCACTGTGTGGGCTACTTCCTCATGCCTATAGTTCTTTCCGTTTTTGATTGTGAACTCATCTTTGGCATACAGCTTATGGGAACCCTGGGAGCCCCAGTTTGTAAAAGTAGCCCTTCCCCCAGGCAGTCGTGCCTCTGTCTTTGACAGTCCCTTCTCACCTTGAGGTTCTCATGCCCACACCCAGGATGGAGTCTAAGTTCTCCCAAGCTCCTGTCTTCCCTCAGCTGCAGTGAAGCTCTCCACGTTTCTGTCACACTGAAGGGGCACTGAGTTGCAGGTTGCTATAAAGAGGGTCCAGTCTGGCTCCCAACTCAGGCCAGCCCAAGACATGCCTGGTCTTGCCTCAGGCTGAAGCCCTAAGTGCACAGTGAAGGCCCAAGACAGCTCAGCCTGGTAATGGGACTCGGGGCTGTCACACGTCAGCTCAAAAGGCTACTACACTAGGTTCCCTCCTGGTCCTGGCATCTAGAGGTTCTCCTTCTATTTGATTTTTTAAGTTGTAAATAGACACAATATCTTTATTTTATTTTTTTAAACATCTTGATTTTATTTATTCATTATTATTTATGTGGTGCTGAGGATCGAACCCAGGGCCTCACATGCGCTAGGCAAGTGCTCTGCCACTGAGCCCCAACTCCAGCCCTCTTTTTAAAAATTATGATGTTTTGTTGAGGTTCTTCCCTTAATGCACAGCTGCTGCCCTGGTCAGAAGTGAGGAGTCTGGATTTCTCTCAGATCCTTTCCGGCTCCGCCTCACACATCATGGCAGGACCACAGATGTCAGCCCTGTGGCTGACACCACCTCGTGCCTCCAGCTGTGGCCCTGCTGTGGTACTCATTGCCTCTGGGCCCCCTACACTCCACAGCTCAGACTGCCCACCCTGCACCCCACGCTGCCCAGGCCTGCCTTTCCCCACAGAGCCCTTCCTCCTCCTGCTGCTCATCTTCGGAGCACACCCTACCACCAACCCACCTTAGGAAGGGGGGCCATGCGAGGCTCTTCCCTCCTGAGCACCGTCAGTGAGTCCCGGGTCTTCAGTTCTGCCTTCCTCAGCCTCTAAGGGGCCTCCCACTCATCTCCCCAATTCTACTCTCCCTTCCTCTGTTCCAAACTAAGAATGTTGCCAGGTTGATCATCCTAAATGACAAGGAAGCTAGGCCAGCCCTGTGGTGTCCTATCTCCTAAACCTGCTAGCAGAGCAAGCAGATGCCCTAAGGTGCCCACTGACTCCTCTCCGTCCCCCGCATCAGATCCACTGGCAGCTCTGAACACAGCATTCGTCTTCGGATCTTGGGGCCTCCCATGCACTATTCTCTGGAGCCAGAACACACCAACTTCCATTCTTCAAAGGTCAAGCTCAGTTATCACCCTCCACAAAGTCACATTCACTCTAGCTTCCAAGGTCCCCTCCTGTGCCCTCCACATGTCTGTTCATGCTGAAGGACACTTCCTACTCTGTTATAACCATGGAGGACAAGCAATGGCTCCCAGATACCCTCTTCAGTGGCAGGCTTGCAGGGGTGCTGAGGGCAGATGGCTGCAGAAGCTACTTCAACCAAGGAGACACATGCTCCCAGGGACACCTCTTATGGTTCTAGAAGGCTGCTGGGCTCAGTGCCCTGGGCCAGGGAGGCTCCATGTCAGGGCTCCTCCTTGCAGCAGGTCCCACTATTTCCCATGGACCTCCAGAAGGCATTGCTAAGAGTGGTGGGACAGGTCATCAGATACATTAGCTACTTTCCTCCAAAGAGCACATAAAGTCTTAGAGAAATTTATAGTCAAAATAAATGCAATGCATGGCATGAGGTGAGAAGGGCCACACAGAGAAAGAAATGGTTAAAAGAGGACCAGCAAGGGCACTGTTCTGACGTCTGGCTCTGCAGTGCATCTGATGACTTTACAAACTAAGTAATTCACCTTCATAACTGCGTTCAAATCAACTGAGGTTGGTTTAAAACTGCTAAGCATGTAGGAGTTCATTAAGACAACCCAAAGCTGTTCTGTGAGGTGAAGAGTGCTCAAAAGCTCCAAGATTTTCCAAGGGTTTTCGCATGTTGAAAGTTAGGCCTGAGTCATGAGAAGTCAACCAACATGGAACATGTAAGTACCACCAATAATAGCTGTGCATTCACTAAGAAGTGTATGTCATGTTAAGTTATGTGACTGAAAGTAGAAATGTACGTCTCTAAATAACACTTTCCATCACTGTTTCTGGTTTCTGAAACTTCATCTAAGTTAAACTTCAGGGCTGCCTTAGAAGAGATGAAAAACAGTGAAGTAGCATCAATTTATATGACAGAAAACATTTTTTGATCAAAAAAACATTAGCTCTATACATGGAAGTTATATTTATTACATTGATTCGTTACTAATAAATTAACTACTTTCATAAGCAAAAACAGTAAAAAATTCCATACAAAAACAGAGTGTAAGAAAATATGCTTTCACTACAAAATCCAGCAAGGCCTCTGCTGCACATGCAACATCTGCAGGAGTCTCCTGAGATGGGGGTGCCTCGCGTGAAGCCGCACGGTCTCACCTGTCGCCCACCTGCAGCGTGGCACTGTGCACCAGCTTGATCCTCCCTCCAGGGATGAGACCTAAAAGACGGGCAGAACGGGTACGCCTGGTCACCTGGAGCCACGCTCACTGCCTAAACGTCCTCTCAAACAGTGCCACAATGCAAACGACAGGTGAGGTGCGCGTGCCCTGCCGAGGGTCACAGGGGACTCTGACCCTGGAGCCTCCTGCCTGCAGGGGCAGCACCCTTCAGCCCACAGCAGCAAGCCCCGTCTGCAAAGTCCCCCAGGGCCGTTCAGAACCTACTGACGGAACTGGGGTCTCCAGCTCCTCCAGCCTCCCTCACTGCTCCTCAGTTTCCTAACTTCCTCTCCTTGAACAACAAACATGAGGACTCCCAGGGCCGACCCCATCCTGCTTTCCCTCCCCTCGTTTTCCAAAGTGCGCACAGCCACCACACTGACCCTCAGACATGAGCTGGCTTAGCCTCCTTGCTACTCCCAACACCATCCTCCCTTTTTAAAATTACTGCCCGAGAGGAACAGAGACCCATGCGATTCTGAGCAGAATATCGCCTAGAATATTGCCTGGAAGCAACTAAATGAAGATGCTGTGAGGTGGCAGGGCCCTGGCACGCTGCCATCATGTGGTCTAACTGCCTGGCACCTCTGCGGCAGGTGTGCCCAYGAGTCCTGGCTCACGCTTCTCCAGAGACACCTCTCTGACCCAGCCTGGTCCAGGTAGCTCCGTGTCCTAGCATTACACCCTAGTCCCCATCTACAGCCCAAATCTCCTCCCCACCGTTTCCCTGGCACCTGGGACTGGACCTGCAGAGCATATTTCAGAAAGGAATAAAAGAAAGACATGGCTTCAGTCCACAACAGGCCACAGTGGGAGGGCCTCAGGACAGCTGGGCACCCTGCACTCTGCTGCCAGGGAGCACCCTCCCTCCTGAGGGCAAAGTGGTGAGGCCGCTGGGGATCTGCAGAGGTAGAACACACGAAGGGTGTGTTTCACAGCACAGGCACATGCCTCGATCCCGGCATGACATTTCACATGTGCCTCAAATGTTTTTAGGCAAACTAATGCTATTCCCAGCTGCCTGTGTCTGCAGGCAGTGCTTCACAGGGCCCATCAGCAGCAGGGCCTGCCTCAACAGGCTCAAGCCACAGGGTCCTCGTGCTTGGGAGAGCAGGCCAAAGGCAGGCCAGCCCAGCGGGGACAACAGCAAGGCACGCTGAGCAGGAGGGACGAGGGCTGACGGCGAGGAACACGCAGAGGACGCACAGGGCTCCTGTGTTCTGAGGAGCCGAGGTTGTGAGCGTGACCTGACAGACCAGAACCCAGACAGGTCAGCACAGGGGGATGGCGCACAGCAAGCAATGCGGTCTTGTTTCCCCCAGAAACCCCACGGTGCAGGGCATCCGTCTGTAGGGGCAGCCACATCTGCTCCGTGAGGCCAAGAGCTCCTCCCTTACTCTGAAGAGCAGGAACAAAGTCCAAATCACTCCTACTGCTTCCCAAAGCCACCCAGGGACACAGCCCAACACAAACAAGGGAGGCTATGTCACTGAAAGAGGCTGAGGCAGTCCAGCTAGGCCACAGCTACCACAGGACCCAAGTGTTCTGTGACCTCTGAGCCCTCTTGGCATCTAGAACCACACCACAAGGCATCAAACTGCCAACTGTCCCCCATCACTTCTGCCCCACGCCCTGGGGAGTCCAGGAGGGCCGCACTGTACAGGAAGAGCCCAAAGTGGGCCAGGGCTCGGGCAATGGATGGCACATCTGCTCCCAGCTGAGGCCGACTGAACTCTGCTGCCCCTCCCAAYGCCTGAACGCAGAACACAGAGGTCCTCGACTGACCCCACAGAGCAGAGCGATAGGCAGCTGCAGGCAGGACTGACCAAGCTACAGGAGAAAGCATTTGGTCAGTGCTATGAGGTCCCACTCGACAGCTAGTAAGGTGCACAATCTACAACTTCATTTTTCAGGTAGCTAATCACACATTTTCAAAGCAGGTAGAGATATGTTTGACTTCTAATTGTTTCAGCAAATACTGACTAAAGTTGATTTTTTAATTTAAGAGTTACCTAAGTCACTTATCGAGCCTGCCATATCCGCCTTTGGTAATTCAACAACCACCTAAAATAAAATAATGAAAATGAAGATGACATATTTTACAATTAGGAAACAACTGAAGCAAAATATGGCTCTAATTAAGAGAGCACAGGGTCCTGAAAATATAATGCCCCAGAAAACAAGCTCCAGGACCGACATACTGACCCCCTAATGCCATGGGCCCCTTCCTTCTGCTCGCTACACTCTCCGCCCTCAGGGACTTGCTCAGCAGGTCTCATGGCCTACAGGATGAGTCCTGATGTCGCCCTCCCACAGCTCTCATCCCATGTTCCCACAGGCCGGCAGGAGGGGCTACCAAGTGGCCAGCCAGGCCCTAGACTTGCTGGGTATAAGATCCTGAGTCCCCTCCCCACACCACTACAAACCCAGGTCACTCCTGCCCCCACCCCCCGCATTGTGTCCTCTCTTTCCCAGGCCCGTGCCCTCAATCCAGGGGTTTTTTCTACTCCAGCCTTCCGTTTGGCCAGTGGGCATGGCCTGGGGCCAGCAACTCACCCACATATTGAGAACCCCGCTGTCATCCAGGGAGGCCACGTGGAACGACAAACCCGACGTTTCTAAGGAAGCCAGAGACAGAGAAAGCAGCAGCTTTAACCCGGGCAGCCCGTGGGTCCCTGCTCTCGCGGGCTGAGGGGCGGCACGAACCTTCCTGGGTAGAGAAGGGCGAGAGCACCAAGCTCTGCTTCCGGCAGACGGATGAGGAGACGGCCTCCAGGGCCTGCAGAGGGCTTCGGTGGCTCACTGAGGTGAGGACTCCGTCTGGAATGAACCCGCATCAAATGGCAGAAACACAAGCAGGTCAAACAGGACAACGTTGGAGGTGCTTCTGGGTCTGAAACACCCAGCTCTTGCCGCAGGCCCCCAAAGACAGCCAGAGGCCAGGACAGACCAAGCAGCATCATTAGGAAACAGACACGATTCTAGAAACACCTGAGGAGGACGAGAAGTCCTCACTGCCAAGAGCTCATTTAAGACTTTGCAGGTTTCACTGACAATAGTTAGATGGCAAATAAAATGAAACCATTATTTTGTATTCAGTGGCCCTCTGAACCCAGGGGTCCTTCACCCATGCATTCAACCAATGCAGACTGAAAATCCTCTGGGGGAAACCTTACCATAGTGACCACAGGGGCCCTTCTTACCAGGACTCCCACAGGGCACAGCAGCTAGTCACGTAGTATTTGCACTATCTTACATACCAAGTCACGGGAGGTGGTATCAAGTCCAGGGGCCGTGTGCACAGGTATACACAAACGCTACGGGGCCTCGTGTCAGAGGCATGAACACCTGAGGATCAACCCCACCAAGACTGAGGGACTACATATGGGTCAGAGATCTAGTGTTTTGAAAATAGTGCTAGATTCAAAGGTTTGTTATTAACACCAAGAGTTAGAAAATGCAGTTATAAAAGATTTATTTTGGAGCCTAATAACTCCCTTGCCTGAGGCATGTAAATAAACTTTATGTGTTCTTTTCCCTGTCTAAAATACATACATATCTATTCATCCATGGTCACACATATGCATATGTGCATATATATGTGTATATATCAATGCCATCAAAACCCACAAAGTACCTATAAATTAAAACACTCTCAAAAGCCGCAGGATCTCCCCACTGCTTTTTCTATGCACAAGCAGAGATACACATGGCACATAAACAGAAAGGCAGCATGTATGTGGATTAAAATGTCATGGGAGGCATTTAGGAAATGAGAATTTTTAAAGTGCTACTTAGTCAAGAGAAAGAAAATGAATCTCAAAATGGAGAAAAGTATCTGCAAAACACATACCTGACCAATGGTACAGAACAGAGGACACAGAGAACAACCCACATAAATACAGTTCTCTCATACTAGACAAAGGTGCCAAAACATACATTGGAGAAAAGACAGCCTCTTCAACAAATGGTGCTGGGAAAACTGGAAATCCATAGGCAGCAAATTGAAATTAAACCCCTATCTCTCACCCTGCACAAAACTCAACTCAAAGTGGATCAAGGACCTGGGAATTAGACCAGAGACCCTACATCTAAAGAAAAAGTAGGTCCAAATCTTTACCATGTCAGATTAGGCCCCAACATCCTTAACAAGACTGCTAAAGCACAAGATATAAAATCAAGAATCAATAAATGGGATGGATTCAAACTAAAAAGCTTCTTCTCAGCAAAAGAAAAAATCAATCAGGTGAACAGAGAGCTTATATTGTGGGAGCAAATTGTTGCCACACGCACGTAAGAGCACTAATCTATAGGATATATAAGAACTCAAAAAACTTAACACCAAAAATACAAACAACCCAATCAATAAGTGGGCTAAGGAGCGGAACAGACACTTCTCAGAAGATGATATAAAATCAATCAAATATTTGAAAAAATGTTCAACATCTCTAGTAATTAGAGAAATGCAAATTAAAACTGCTCTTTCATCTCTCTCCAGTCAAAATAGCAGTTACCAAGAATACAAGCAACAATAAGTATTGATGTGGTTGTGGAGGAAATGCACACTCATATATTGAGGTGGGACTGCAAACTGGTGCGGCCAATCTGGAAAGCAGTATGGAGATTCCTTGGAAAACTGGGAATGGAACCACCATTTGACCCAGCTATCCCACTCCTTGGTCTATACCCAAAAGACTTAAAAACAGCATACTACAGTGATGCAGCCACATCAATGTTCACAGCAGCAAAATTCACAATAGCCAAACTGTGGAACCAACCTAGATGCCCTTCAATAGATGAGTGGATAAAGAAACTGTGGTATATATACATAATGGAATATTATTCACCAATAAAAGAGACTAAAATTATGGCATTTGCAGGTAAATGGATGGAGTTAGAGAATATCATGCTAAGCGAAGTAAGCCAATCCCAAAAAACCAAAGGACAAATGTTTTCTCTGATAAGTAGATGCTAATCCACAATGGGGAGGGACATGGGTTGAGTGGAGGAACTTTGGATCGAGCAAAGGGGAGAGAGAGAAGGAGAGGGGGCATGGGGATAGGAGAGATGGACATAATTACTCTAGGTACATATGTGATCACACAAATGATGGGACCCTACTTCGTGTACAACCAGAAGTAAAAAATTGTGCTCCATTTGTGTACAATGAATCAAAGAACATTCTGCTGTCATGTATAACTGATTAGAATAAATGAAAAAATATTAAAAATCTAATTTAAAAAATGGACAAAAGACCTCAACAGACACCTCGCCAAATAGGATGCATGGGTGTCACACAAATGTCTGGAAAGGGCTCCCACCAGCCTCACGAGGAGGTGCCACTGTGCCCCTGGCAGGACACCAGGATCCAGTCTCTGGGGAGGACGTGGTGGCCCAGGAGTGCTGGTGGCTGAGGGAGGGAATGTCGACCGTGGTCCTATCCAATAAAGATTTCTTATATGCAAAAAAAGCAGACCCCAACTAACACCCCTCACCATGCCCCAGATTAGCAGAAGTGGAGCACAGACTTAACTATAAAATCTAGGATCACACAACTTCTAGAAGAAAACATAGGGGACACTGTTGGCAAAGCAGCTAAGCAAAAACTGGTTAGATGTGACACCAGACATAAAATCATAAAAGAAAAAGATTGATGATTGAATTTCATCAAATTTAAAATGTTTTCTGTCCTTCTAAGACAATGTTATGAGAAAAGATAACCAGATTGAGAGAAAGTATTTACAAAACCTGCCAGTTATACCCAGAATACACGAAAACACTCAGGACATAAAGGTCTGGGATTCAGCTCAGTGGTCAGGTACTTGCTTAGCTTGTGCAAGGCCCCAGGTTTAATCTCCAGAACAAAAGAAAAAAAAAAACCTTAATAAGGAAACAACCCAATAAAAAAAAAAAAAAAGGAAAAACCTTCAACAGATGTCACCCACACAGACTGAGGGTGATGAATAAATGTGGGCATGTGCTCGATGTCACCAGCCATTAAGGAAGGRAAGATCACCATGAGACATGTTTGTCAGAAGCCGCCCCAAAAGTTCCCGTGAGGTGCTGGTGAGGACGCAGAGTGCCTGAAACTCTCACACCCTGTGGCAGTGCACAATGGCTGACACTCTCGGATAGGCTCCTGGCACACTTACTCACAACCACCAACACCTGGAGTCAACCACAAGTCCAGAGTGGCTCCGGGGGAGCATCTACACAAGGGACACCTTCAGCAAAGCAGTGAGCGGCAACACGCAGCAGCACAGGAGTCTCCACACATGGCTACTGCACAAGTCCAGTGTTTTGACATCTGGACAACCCAGAGCCAGGACAGAACAAAATCAGTGGCCGGGAGGACCACAGCAGGGTTCTGAATGTGAAGAGAGAAGGGCAGGGACCAGAGAGACCGGCAGGAGTGAGTTGAGAGCCGGGGGCTGAGCCCTGGCAGCAGGGCTCCGGCCCCTCCGGGGAGGCACTGTGGCACTGGATCAGACAGCGGTCTGGGGCAGCCGCCCATGTAGTCAGTGTGGCCTCACACACAGTCACCTTCCGGGGCAGCAGGAACACAGCTATCATGACAACCAAACGAGCAGGTAGACACAAGGGGCTGGGGAGAGTGCTGTGGTGGTGGCAGGCTGGGTGACAGGAGACTGGCGTCCTGGGAGGGTGGCCGCTCTGGCCTGGCATCCCCAGGGGGAGACTACCCTCACTTTCCCACTGCCAGCACTAACCCACCATGCCACAGGCGCACACACACCATTGAACCCTCAGCTAACCTAAAACCACAAACCATCTTGTGGAGGATTTTAGGGAATCCACAAACTTAATATGAAGGAAGATTCCAATCATTCTTGGCTGCTGCATCAGGATTACTTGAGTAAATATTTTTTTCTACTTATCGAATGCSTCCCTTGCCTATGGATGGGATCCCAGCTGCTGGATAATCTGAATGAATAAATGCCAATCAATTTAAAACTTCAGTCTCCGCTCTGACGTGGCTTTCCAGAGACACCAGCTTGGCAGACATGACACTGACCGGTGGAAAACGTGGCTGTCCTGAAGGTCCAGCAGCAGTCACTCAGCTCAACATAACGGTGAATCCTGGAGTCTTCTCTTAGGTCCCACACCACCACTGAGCCATGTGCTGTTCCAGCAAACAGCAGAAATGCCTTCAGAGGGCTAAAGCAGCAACACGTGACCTGAAAGGAAAACCCGGGGGCTGACGCCTGGGCAGCAAGGGACTGGCCCACAGCAGTCGGGTCTGCTCGTCCCACACTGGCACCTGCTCACTTGACCCAGAGGGACATCCCAGGTGGCTGTGTCTGAGAAGCTGAAGGACCTAGTGAACGTAGATAGAATGCTTGGTTTCCTCAAATGGACAGTAGGGACAAAGTCCCCCTCTAGGACTTTGGGACTACATGATAGCCACGTGAGAGGTGCTCGACTGTCACTTCTTCTCAATGCAATTCACTGGGCTTCAAAACAGACCATTCCACCCCGAGTCACCTCAACTACACCCTGTGTTGCAAAAAGTTTTAACATTCAATTCCCTAAAACTGGTACCTGTGAAAGTTACTCCTCCCTATGGCTTTGGGAGAAATCAAGGAACACAAAAGTAGGACATTTTCCTAATTAAAGGGATATGAATGTGAAGGGGCAGCTCTTCCCCTGGACTGTCAGTAATCAGGAGCATAAACACATGAAGGAGKGCGTGCCCAAATAAGTGACAGGGGTGCAAAGCTACTTCAAGAAGCCTCAGGAAAACAGGAAACCTCCAACATGCCCCACAGCGCCAGCCAAGGAGGGAGTCCTAGGGTCCAGTGTCGTGCCCAGGTTGGCCAGTGCTTCCAGTAAGCCCACAACTACACTCACTTCCAAGTTCTCGACTGGCCAAGAGCCTGCTCTCTGACTCCTAGGACTCTCAATCTGAGTGGATCCTGTGAACTAAGAATTTCTGGAGTTGAAGCAAACACACCCCTGTGTCTTGCCGGCCCACAGCAGGGCTGAGGGGAGCTGTGCAAGATGGGAGTGACAGTGGGCTCTCCTCTTCTCAGCACCCCCAGCAAACACGCCTCTCCTCCTGCATATACCTTAGACTCACAAATCAGGACCTTCTGGGGCCCTGAAGGCTGCCAGATGTCCCATACACAGAGGATGTATCTGCAGTCCAACAGCTGGGCAGAGGCCTTTTCTGGTAGATCATGGACAGAGACCACGGTCTGCCTTTGTACTCGAGAGGCATGCAAGCAGGATACTTTTCGATCTGGGGGAAAAGATAAAAAAAGTATGTTTGCATCTTAGCAATTTGCTAGAATCCATGTTAAATTAACACCCAGAACCCTCAAATAAATTTCAACCTAATGAAGAAACAAACTGAACACACACTGGTAATGGCCACAGCCAAGGTGAGCACGTGACCTTCCAGGCTGGCCATGCAGCCAGGGCATCACACCTCTTCTCAGCCACAAGCTTGCACTCAGGAATCAGCAGCTCAGGGCAGGAGGCGCAGGATTGAGCTACGCTGATCCCTTGTGAGGACATTACCCTTAGGAACCTCAGTTCTCTTAAAACAGCCTGCCAGGAACACAGCAGACTTGTCTCTTCCAGTGAGGTAGAGCTGAGCTCTGCTCCAGATGCTGCTGGATAATAGCAAATGGAACCAATTCCAGGCTTCCGTGTTGTTGGAGTTTGCTGTGCCCCCAAATCAGCAGAAGATGCTGACAGAGGGGAGAGAGCAGGATGTCAGGTAAAAGCTACTCAGTCACAGACAAACAGCACTGCAGGGAGGGAGGTGGGGAGCACAGAGGACTGTGCCAGGCCACCGAGGCATACATACCCCACACCCATGGATGCCACAGCCCACGACATCCAGACCTGGGCCACCCTGTCACAGGCATGYGGGCACAGCCCTCCTGGGCCCTCCACAGAAAATTCCAGGTCCTTCTCCAGAAAAAAAATGCCTTGATGGCTTTGTTCTTAACCATTTAACACGTGTAGAACCTGCTACCATCTCTATATTTTTTTGCTTGTTGTGCTGGGATTCCATCCATGAGCTCTGTGGGTTTATGGGCAATTTTCCACGGTGGTTCTCGGAAACAYGTGCGCCATTCTATAGAGAGTTCTGCGGTTCAGTGCCAGCAGGAGGTCTGCACTCTGCCACTCCAGTGACCTCACCTGGCTCTGCGGGCCCAGGCCTCCGTTCCCTACAGCCTGCCTCCTCACCTGGCTTCACCAGGGAGGCCCCTCTCCAGAAGCTGTCTGTGGCCTCTCCATGGAAGGCCTCCCTTTCTAACACAGCCCAAGTCCTTGGTTAGCAGTCTGCAGTCTCTCTCAACACCAAAACCCAAGTTCCAGGAGGGCAGCATTTTTGCCCCACTCACTGCTGAATCCACCTGTCATGGTGCCTAGGACACTGTACACACCGAGCCCTCACCCAGGGACACATGCTTTAGGAGTGATGATAGCAGTGAGCAGATTCCACGGAGACTGAAATCACTGCATCTCACCACAGACTGGGAGAAAATGAGCCAAATCCTAAGTTCACAAAGGTGAAGCAACCCACCACTCTGTCAGATTCTTCTTCCCCATCTCATTTTCCTTCTTTTATCTCAATATTAATGTCACTAAAACACAAAAATTAGCAAACCAGAAAACCTCTGCTGACACTGGTGGTCATGAGAGATGCCAGGCACAGGTGTGAGCCAGGTTTCCTCTCTGCTGTCACTGTGCTCTGCATCAGCTCCAGACAGCAGCACACAGATTTACTATTCTGCTTCTCTGTGTGTGCTGCTGCGCTGTTAATGCTACAGGCACACAGATTTACTATTTTTCTAACAGGATCTTTTTTGTTTAAGAYAAACAAAATGGAGAACGCAAAAACCATTTGACCCAGCTATCCCTCCCCTCGGTTTATACCCAAAGGACTTAAGAACAGCATACACAGGGACACAGCGACATCAATGATTATAGCAGCACAATTCACAATAGCTAAAGTGTGGAGCCAACCTAGATGCCCTTCAGTGGATGAATGAATAAAGAAAAATGTGGCATATATACACAATGGAATTTTACTTAGCAGTAAAAGAACACAAAATCATGGCATTTGCAGGAAAATGGATGGACTTGGAGAATATGTTAAGTGAAGTTAGCCAATCCCAAAAAACCAAATGTTTTCTCTGATGTAAAGAGGCTGACTCATAGTGGGGGTGGGGCAGGAAAATGGGAGCAATAGCCGAGCTCTAGATAGGGTAAAGGAGAGAGAGGGGGATGAGAGGGGGCATGGGGGTAAGAAAGAAGAGGGAATGCAATGGACATCATTACCCTAAGTACATGTATGAAGACACGAATGGTGTGACTCTACTTTGTGTACAACCAGAGACATGAAAAATTGTGCTCTATTTATGTAATATGAATTGAATTGCATTCTATTGTCATATATAAATAAAATAAAAAGAAGATAAACAAAATGCTCTCAAGGAATAGTAAGATTTATTTAAATTAAAGTAATTTTCGCAAACATTAAAGGACAGAGGAATGTACACAACCTACAAATAGCAGGCGGAAAAGAAGACATTTCTAGAACAAGTAGCACCAAATGCTCAGCCTCACACGTGCCTGAGAGCATGCTCACAGCCTGATCTCTTAAGGAGAAGCGACTTTGAGGCACTTTCCTCACAAACCTGGGCCACAATTGCCAAGAGTACCTCCCTAGACACTTTTTTCAAAGGTAAAATGTTATTAGCTAAAGAAATTTAAATACGGTCTTTGCAATTTCAGTTCATTTAAAATAATTTAATTACATGCCAACATGACTTCTTCTTTTTTTTTTAATATTTATTTTTCAGTTCTCAGCAGACACAACATCTTTGTTTGTATGTGGTGCTGAGGATCGTACCAGGGCCGCCCACATGCCAGATGAGCAGGCTCCCTTTTGAGCCACAWCCCCAGCCCCCCAACATGACTTCTTTGCTAGTCTGGGATTCATTTGTTTAGCATTTACTTTCTATAGCCATGACTTACCTTAAACATGTAAATGAGTATCTCTGGGTCACAATGAGTGTCTCACACCTGTGTCTAAGTCAACAATGCAACACCCTCAAGCTATTCTAACTGTTTCATCAGAGAAATCAAAAGAAAATGAGTAAGTGAAGGAATAGATTCTGGAATTAAAACAAATATAGACAATCTCAGTTTTCATTCATTTAAATAATTTCATTATTTAAGTTACTAAAAGCTATCTTTGATCAGCAAAAAAATTGATAATCATAAATTTAACATACATATTTTGGAAAAAAACCCTAAATATTCACTTTTCAGTGTGGCACAAATAGAATCTGTCTCTATATACAATAAATTCTACTGCATTAAAATAGAAGTAAAACTAAAGATCATTCCATAAATATAAATGTTTACTGGTTGGACTAAAAACAAACTCACTGAAGACCCCTTACTTTCAAGAAATGGCAGGCCAGTGTCCACCTGAGAAGAGCTATCACTAATGCTCAGGGTGTGATCTGCAGCCCTGAGGCTCCAGACAGGCTCACCAGCCAAACGGTCCTCTTCCAGCAAAACAGCAACCACCTAGCAAAGATGGGGAAGCAGTCATTATGGTAAGAAGCTTACAGTATACAAGCTTTTCAAAATATTACTTTTCATCTTAAACATTTCTGTAAATAAATGCTTGGCTCCATGATGACACACACAAAAAAAATTTTAGGGCTGTGGTTGTGGCTCAGTGGTACAGAACTTGCCTAGTACAGAATTTCCCCTGGGTTCCATGAGAACCCAGGGGAATGTGAGTGAGGCAATGGGTTAGATTCTAAGCACAACAAATAAATAAATGAATAAACAATTTAAAAWTTTTTTTTTAATGTACAGACAGGCGTGGTGGTGCATGCCTGCAATGACAGGAGCTTAGAAGACTGAGGCAGGAGGATCATGAGTTCAAAACCAGTCTTAGCAGCTATAAGGTGCTAAGCAACTCAGTGAGACCCTGTCTCTGAATAAAATAGAAAATAAGGCTGGGAAGGTGGCTCAGCGGTAAAGTGCTCCAGAGCTCAATCCCTGTACAAAAAATTTAAATAAATAAAAGTAAATTAAAATTTAGAAATGTATAGCTTTTTCTTCATAATAGCACAAATAAGAAAAAATATCAAAACATACATATGCCAAGGAAAAGCTATACTTTTTTCATATATGTTTTTTCACTAAATATACTGCTCAAAATTATGGAATTAAAAAAAACTCAAAATCTTAAATACCCTTCAACAACAAACACTGAAGAACCAACAGAACAACGGCTCTCTTTTTCAAAGGGTTGATAAATCAGCACAAAATAATGGCAAATGACAAGAATGGGTAACCCTAAGGATTTGAGAGATCAGAAGACAAAGAAGAAAACTTGGCATTGAGATGCAAAAGAAACCTTCACTAAGAACTATAGGAACAAAAAATAATGGAAAGATGTATTCCATATATATATATATATATATATATATATATATATATATATGTGTGTGTGTGTGTGATATTTCAAAATAAAATCTACTGCCATGTATAGGAAGGCAGGGAGGTTTAGGAACCCAGAGGAATACAGAGGGGAGGAGAGGCTCCATGAGAACCCAGGGGAATGGAGAGGGGAAGGAGGCTCCATGAGAACCCAGGGAAATGGAGAGGGGAAGGGAAGGTTCCATGAGAACCCAGGGGAATGGAGAGGGAAAGGGAGGCTCCATGAGAACCCAGGGGAATGGAGAGGGGAAGGAGGCTCCATGAGAACCCAGGGGAATGGAGAGGGGAGGAGAGGCTC